CTAGCAGTTTACGAAAAAATAAATAAAACTGATATGTTTTATTTTCTTCCACAGAGTGAGCTATCAATGGTTTGGAGAATTTCTTTTTTTAATTATTTGATTATTTTATATATACAGACTAGTATGACAGTAGTCCTCTCTTTTCCTGCTTGTTTGATAATAATGCAAGGAGTCTTACAGAGACCTGTGATGGCTCTCTGTCCTCTTGGAGATTCTATGTTATACATTTACATTTGTTTAACGCAGGGGTAGGCAACCTTTCCCCTTTAAGGGCTGAGGGACTTCAACTCCCAGAAGCCTCAGCCATGTTGGACAATAGCTCCTGGGATTCTGGGAACTGAAGTCCCTCGGCCCTTAAAGGGGAAAGGTTGCCTACCCCTGGTTTAATGTCTGGGCCTAACTGAGGTCTACCTTGCACTGCAGAATTAATGCAATTTGACACCACTTTAACTGCCAAGGTTCAATGCCTGGGGTTTGTAGTTCTGTGAGATATTTAGCCTTCTCTGTCAGAGAGCTCTGGTGCCAAAGCAAACTACAAATCCCAGGATTCCAAAGCATTGAGCCATGGCAGTTACATCAGTGGCAAACTACATTATTTCTGCAGTGCAGATAAGGCCTGAATCTTAAAAGCTAAAACAATCAATATAAAATACCCATTTTAGGTTACATCCCTCATAAAGTGTCTATGGCAAGTTCTTCTGCTTTTTATGTTCTTTAATCCGATATGCTGACACATGAATCTGATATGTTGACATTTCATACCTCTCTATCATGAAAACAATATTTTTATATAAGACTGGTGGAAGAATGATTTAAGATCACCAGTGTTGCATTTTATGATTTAATGGAACAGGATAGGCCCTATGTCAACAAATTTTCCTCTTTTAAGCTAAGGATGTGTCTCTTGACAGGCTTGGTTCATCAGAGGGTCACACAGCACCTTAACAAGTACTTTTTTTCAACCATGAGGTGTTTGAAACTGATGCAGTAATGTTCATATTTTGTGTGCTTACTGTGACTTAATGTTTTATATTCTATAGCTTTAAGTGTACTATTTCTCTGCTATAGTCTGTTACAAAGTACCATATATACTCGACTATAAGTCGACCTGATGTATAAGTCAAGGGCAGGTTTTGGGGACAAAATTATGGATTTTTATATTACCCATGGATAAGTCGAGGGTAAAACTTAGGGGCATGTAACAAGGAATCTAAAGGATGAAGTGAAGGAAAACAATGCCAAAGAACTTCCAAATTTCCAGCAAGCATAACTGTTTTTGCTCACCCTAAAGGCTGGATGGATGAGAGAATAGAGCGGAGTCAGTGCTTCCAGGACAGATTACGCTCTTGCCTTTCACCAGGGGATGATTCTCTTTTTTATAAGAGTTAAAGTACAGTATTTACACTGATGTGTGGATAAGTTGATCCAGGTTTTTGGGGTCAATTTTTTGACTACAATTTCTAGACTTATACATGAGTATATACAGTATATGACACTGCACTCAGATTTAATTGTCAGTCTAATCAGCATCTGCATATGGAACACAGAGGTAGAGAGAAGTGCCATTTTGCCCTTCATCTCAGACGGCCAAACATCTTGGACCAGCATTGGTAAAAAATGAACACAGATTATTTGGGATGGTTTTACAAACCTTTGCGGAACTCAGGCACATAATGGAAATCAGGTTGTCCCAGATGAATGAAGAATTTGGAAAGATTGCCACTGACAGCAATGACAAAGACCAGAGTGGCACATATCCAGAATGGACCTTTTATAAGAAGAGCAAAGACAAAAAACCCTAAATTATTCTGATTGATCAGTTTTCATTCAGTGTGAAAATAGAAAACTTCTGACAATGTTACCATCTGTACATACCATAAAGATCAGGATTACTTCTAATGTACAGTCTCACAAAATTTTTTCCTGGTACTGGAAAAACAGAACCTTTGATTCTGTCCAAGACCTGTTTTAAAAAGTACAAAAGTACAACATTCAACTAAAAATCAGTTATTAAATTAGGTGTAATATCTAAATATCTAAACATGCTATACAGATTGAGCCACCTTTATTAAAAATGCTTACGACCAGAAGTGTTTTGGATTTTGGAATATTTGCATATACATTGTGAAATGGGACCCAAATTCATTTATGTTTTGGATACACCTTATGATCATAGCCAAAAGTAATTTTATACATAATATTTTTAATATTTTTTTGAATGAAACAATTTTTGTGTACACTGAACCATCAGAAAGCAGAGGTGTCACTATCTCAGCCATCCATGTTGATAATTTTGGAGTATTTCAGATTTCAGAATTTTGGATAAGGGATACTCAACATGTAATATGGAACACCCAGGCAGTTTATCAGCTTGGGAACAAGTAATGAACTTACCTCTCATTCCCAGGATCAGGAAGGTATCTTGGTTTTCTCAGCCATAGTTTCCCAACATATCCGAAATAAGAAATTATGGTTTAAGAGCTCCTTTCAAATACATGGAACAAGCATCAAATCATCTTTTATGCCTTGGTTTGGAGGAAGTCATTACATTACAATTTCTCAGTTCAGATAGCAAGAAAACTATGACCAAGGCTTCCTTGAATGACAGAAGGCAGGCAGAAAATGAGCCAAGAGCTGGCCTTTGTTTTGAGTCTTTAAAAAGCACATTTGAATACAATATATAGTCCATCTTGTTATAGTGCTTTGCTATAATATTGTGAGTGGCTTTTTAGTCCCCTTTGGATTTTTAAACTGCTAAATAACCTCCCTTCTAATCCACTAAACAATAACCCACAGCTAAATAGTTATTTTCAACAAAACAAAAACTGGAATAATTTGATGAGTGAACACTATCAATAGAGATAATGAGAGATGTTTGGATCTCTGTTCTTCTTTGTAATGGTTATGCTTTTAATTGCTTTCAATTTCACTGAGTGTTTAATTACATTTTAAGTTTTTATATGATGACATTTTTAGCAGTATCTTTTTCAACATCTGTAAATCACTTCAAGTGGGGAAAAAGTGGAATACAAATAAATATAAATGAATGGGATAAATATAAATAAATAATCCAAAGAATAAAACACAAAACAAATCCTGCTAATACAAATAAATTATGGTAAAAGTCTCAAAAGTGGTGAATATCCTTGTGCAGTTGTACCCTGGGAATTTAAAGTGGGAAGGAAAAGCAGCAGGCATTTAGGTATGTTTTCAAAATGAATGGCACATTTGTACTTTTTCTTCAGTGCAAGCAGAGAGAAGGTTCTGATGGCAGGACTGTGCAGGACTGTCAAGAGGACTGAAGCAATCACCAGGTATGAAGGGAGGAGCTGTGTCTGACCATCAGAAATGTCACAGATTGTTGTACTACTTGGGAACTACTTACATAAGGAGATCTGAAAGAACTGCTATAGAAACCCATCACAATAGTGTTCCAGGATACACATGGATAAAGAAGCAGGATGAGGAATTATGAATACATTCCACATGCCTTAACCATTTTACAGATCGAGCCTCCCTTATCTGAAATGCTTTGTACCAGAATTGTTTTGGATTTCAGATTTTTTTGGATTTTGGAATATCTGCATTTTCATATAAGTACAGATATCTTGGAAATGGGACCGAAGACTGAACACAAAATTCATTTATGTTTCATATATACCTTATAAACATCGCCCAAAGGTAAGTTTATGAGATATTTTAATACTTTTGTGCATGAGACAAAGTTTTTTGTACACTGAACTATCAGATAGTGAGTATCACTATCTCAACACCCATGAAAAAGTTTTTGGCTTTTGGAATATTTCGGATTTCAGAATTCCAGATTAGGGAGACTCAGCCTGTACAACACACACACAAAACCCAAGCTGAAGATCACTTTACTGGTCAAATCCATAGCACCTTAACAGAGATACACCTGCAGATTACAAACCTGGTATGTATCCACATCAAAAAATGTTTGATAATATTCAAACGTCCAGAATGGGGCACTTTTCTTCTGCCCAGCAAGTAACTGCAAAACAAGTAAGATTTTTTTTTAAAAAAATGTTGAGAACAGATGGAGAATACTTCTTAAATAGTAAAATAATATTTTAAGTGGCAGACCCTTCTGCTCACAAAAGAACTGGGAAATTTTTTTGAGCAGACCACAAAAACGTATTAAATCAAAAGCAGAGTTTTCAGCAAAATCTGCACCAGTGCTTTTCACGCTATCTGATGTGGTGGATTGGCACTCCCCTAACCAATAAGCCAAGGACCACCACCACATGTGTGCAATTTCCTTAGCCAAGCTTTCAGTTAAGGACTTGGGCAACCTGTGATCAACTCCTTCTGGTCAGGAAAAAAAAAAACTTTACCCAGAATGCATCAATATTAGTATCGCTTGTTACATGGATATTGTTTTGTGCCTTCAAGTCATTTCCAACTTATGGATATACTGTCTTCTAATTTGCATTTGGAAAGGAGGGTGGAGCAGTTGTATTTGCTTTGCACTACAATGTCAAATACCTCACATTGAAGAGAAAAGAGTATTACCATTGAACAGATTTTCCAATGTCTGAAAAGTCTACTGAAAGATTATTTATATACATTTTATACTCATCTAAAATGGAATGCAAATAAACCATATAGAAAATATTTCTCATAGGGCATATCCTGAACTTCATTACTTTTCTTCATTTGTTTAAACACACGTGCCCCCAAAAGTATTCATACAGTGCTACTAACCGGTGATCAATTACAAGAAATGAGTACTTTTATAGACCAGTCAATGCTAACGGCTAATAAAACAGAAGGAGTGACCAGAAAGGCTCCTTAATCCCATGTGCATCCCACACCCCTTTAGATCTCTTCAATCTACATGTAGGAGAGATCCACCTGTTTCTTAAACCTCTTGATGGCACAGCCACTTTGTGAGGGCTGAGAATACAAGGGCTATCCTATAGTATCTCCCTTTCGTTGATGACCATCCTGAATGGTTTCTGCTATGATTTACACACAGAGCCAGTGTGGCATAGTGGTTTGAGAACTGGACTATGACTCTGGAGACCAGAGTTCGAATCCCCACTCAGCCATGGAGCCCTAGTGCGTAACCTTGGGAAAGTCATGTTCTCTCAGCCTCAGAGGATGGCACCACCACCCCGAAACTTGCTAAGAAACCCCAGTGATAACTTTGCCTTAGGGTTGCCATAAATCAGAGACGACTTAAAAGCACAACAACAAACACATAACATACAGGTTGAATCTCCCTTATCTGAAATGCTTGGGACTGGGTTTTTTTTTTTTTTTTTTTTTTGGATTTTGGATTGTTTGCATATACATTATGAGATATCTTGGAGATGGGACCCACATGATGTTCATTTATGTTTTGTATGCACCTTAAACACATAGCATGAAGGTAATTGTATAGATAATATTGTTAATAATTCTGTGTGTGAAACAAAAGTTGTGTACAATGAGGGCAAACATGTCACTACCTTGACAACTCATGTGTATGATTTTGGAGTACTGGTATTTCATATTTGGAATTGCGGATAAAGGAAGCTCAACCTGTACTGGATATTAATTAACACTGTCAGACAGAACGCTTGCATTGCCATCTAACCTCAGTTTTGTCTGAATCATCTGTCCCCAACAGCTCATCATCTTCTTCTCTCCCAGAATCTGGCAAATGTCCATGCTTTTTCTTTGATTTTTCAGGTTCACCAATGCTTATTGTGACAGCATCTGGATTTGCTGCCAACAAGTTAGCTGCATCATCAAATTCTGAAAAACATGTATAACACCTCCAAAATGTGACCTTTGCATTAGGGTTATCTCTTAAGATATGTAATCACATGGAATAAATAGGATTCCCATGTCACTTTTTCTAAAGCTTTTAAAATGTTAAATTCAGCTAGATAGATAAATTTGTTGGTACTTGATTAAGGACACCAACCTTTCTTTATTCAACTAAGGGCATTTGCAGACTGCCAGAAATAGTGCAAACTGAGTCCACTTTAACTGCCCTGACTCAGTGCTAGGGAATCATGGGAACTATAGCTTATTGTGGCACCAGAACTCTCTGACAGAGAAGGCTCAATGTCTCAGAAAAAAATACAATTCCCATGATTCCCTAGCACTGAGCCAGGGCAGTTAAAGTGGACTCAATTTGCACTATTTATAGCAGTCTGCAAAGGCCCTAAGTAATGCTGGCCTGTTTCCTCGCATTACATTCTTAGTCAATAATTCAGCTACTTAGATTCACTCTCTAAGATTGAGAGGCTATTTGAACTAATGTACACCTAAGAGATAGCATCACAATAAAGCAACAATGAGAACAAGATGTAGGAAATAAATTAATTCCAACATGTTCTGAGCAACTGTTAGACAGGAGTAGGACACCATTACTGGTATTTCATAGAACAAGATTCTAAAATTCACTGACACAACTCTTTCTATTCCACCTGTCTGTATCTACAATGGGCCCTTGGTATCTTCTGGGGTTTGGTTTCAGGGCCCACCACAGATACCAAAATCTTTGGATGCTCAAGTCCTATTAAATACAGTGGCATAGTAAAATGATATCTTTTATATTAAATGGCAAAATCAAGGTTTAAATTTGGGAATATATAAAAATATTTTCAAGCTGTGGGTGGTTGAATCCATGGATAAAAAAATCTGTGGACATGGAGGGTCCACTGTATTACATTTCTATTTGTTTAATCCAGAGGCATACTACACAACTGAAGGAACCACAGTGGGGTCTTGCTATCCATGGGCCCACCAGCTGTGGATTTTAAGCATCCGTAGACTGCAAGCCCTGTCGTCTGCATGGTGGTGCATGCACACAACTGCTAGCACATCTGTGCACATGTCGCACTACCTTTCGGGACTTGAGGTCCTGCTTTTTTGTATCCACCGGGGGGGAGGTCAGGAACGGATCCCTTGCAGCTATGAAAGTCCAACTGTATAGCATCAGTGCAAGCTATGGCTGAGTTTTCATAGAATCTCTCCCTTTCTGACAATTTTTCTCTCTTCCCCTACTCTTCTCCATCCAGGCAGGTGATGGCAAAGGGACAATTTGCCCTTTCCAGAAGTATGACCATTTGCAGGAGGTTTTTGAAATCAGGCCCCAGGTTTTCCGACCCCCTCTCTGTTTCCTACTCTTTAACTTGTTATTGAACCATAGGTGGGTCTGTCCTCTTATCCTAGGGCTACTAAATTCATTCAGGAGCCTTGAGGTTTGCGTACATGTGTGTGGTTTGCCTTCCAGTTATTTCCAACTTAAGGTTACCATGAGGCAACCCTAATACAGAGTTTTCTTGGGGAGGTTGAAATTACATATACCAATCTGAGATGCTTCTAAAAATCTATTTTAATAAAAAGAGAGAAAGGAAGGGAGAATATTCAGCTGCTGAAGGAAAATAACCATCAGTTCCATAACTGGCAATATTGTTTTTAGAAATGAAAAAAATCAGCATCACAAGACTGTGAACTGTAAGCTAGAAATTAATTACAAAGGCCTGTGATAAAAACAACTTTTTTCAACATTGCGGCTGTTTTTAATGTATTTTTTCAGTGCTGAACCCAAAAAGCACAATAAAAATGTCATATCACACACAGTTATTTCATTGATTATTTTTTTATCAATTCAGTCTTTACTCAGCTTTGATTGTGAACACTGATGTTCCAGTACAATTTCTTTTAATGCTTTTGAATGGATTTTTGTGTTTCATATCAATAAATTAAAGTATTTTGAGAGCGTCTTAGAAGACTTTAACCTTTTTCTTGCTCTTTGCAGGATAATTCTTTGCAGGAGCACTCTACTCAGTATAACACAGAAATGTCAAAGCAAGTTGTGAAAAAAACCTGTATGTGACAGAACAAATCTGAGGTCAGTTCTGGATTTAGAATGACAAATTCCTATCAAACCAGCATGTATTTAAAGTTTTAATGACCCTCTATTTTGCAGTCCTATGTTATAGAAAAAGGTGGTTATACTCAAGTGACCCTGCCACAAACCAATCTGAAGCCTTAAAAGTATAATTTTATAAATACCTTGAAACTTTAGGTCATCCACAGTTGCCATTCACGCACCAATGTTTGGCTGAAGTAATTCGGAACTGAAAAACAGCTGAAAAATATAAATCACGTAAATACAAAGTGAGATTTAAAGATGCAATTAATATTCACAGTGAAGCTGGCTCCTGGAGCTCTAGACATTATGTAGTAACCTGTAATTCTGTCTCAAGAATCCTTCAAACAGGTTCCCATCAATATTAGTCCACTTCACCAAGGGCAGCATCCGCACGGCAGAAACAATCCAGTATAACCCCATTTTGACTTTCATGAATCAATGCTAATGGAATTCTGGGAATTATCATTTATTGTGGCACCTGAGCTCTTACAGAGAAGGCTAAATGAATCACAAAACTACAACTCCCAGAATTCCATAGCATTGGTCCAGGGCAGTTAAAAGGAGTGGGTATTTTCCTCTCTTCACTCACTGTTAGTACATGGTAGGATTTTAACAGGATTTTTCTTAGTACAAGGTAGGTTTCCAATTTATAAATATATTTAATAAAATATAACGATATATACTTATAAAATATATAATTTATGTATTTATATTATATTATGCATATATATATATATATATATATATATATATATATATTACACTCATCCCTCCACATTCGCACAGGACCTCCTGAATGTGGAAAAACTGCAAATAGCAAAAACACTATGTTTTTATCTGAAAACATCCCTCTAGGAATCTCCAGGTCCTCCAATGTAAGTCTGTGGTCAACATCTTCCCGTTACTGACCATAGATTTGTGCCGGAGGAGCTACAAATGCCTAGTGGAGTGTCCTTTCTAGGAATCTCTAGGTCCTTCAGTGCAACTTTTAGTTAAACTTGACCATAGAGTTGTGCTGGAGGACCTAGATATTCCTAGAGAGAACATATTAATAAAATCCATGAATAATCAGATCTGCAAAAGTCAAAGCCACAACTGTAGAGGGATGACTGTATTTATTATATCTATATTTGCTTTATATTATATTATACACATTTATATCTACATGTATATATCTATATTTTATATTATATTACACACATTTACATCTACATGTATTATATCTGCATTTATTTTATATTGTATTACACAAATTTATATCTACATGAATTATATTTATATTTATTTTGTATTACAAAATTTATATCTACATTTATTATATCTATATTTATTTTGTATTCTGTTATAAACAATTATATCAAAACATATTATATCTCTATTTTGTATTATATTACACACATTTATATCTATATTTATTATATCTATATTTGATATTATATTATAAACCATTATATCTATATTTATATCTATAGATTATATTATATACATTCATATCTACATATTATACACATTTATATCTACATTTATTATATCTACTTTTTATATTATTTTACACACATTTGTATATATTTATTATATCTATATTTATATTATATTATAATCCATTATGTCTATATCTATATTATATTATACACATTCATATCTACATTTATTATAACTATATTTATTTTATATATTATAAACCATCTATATTTATTATATCTATTTTACATTATGCTACATACATTTATATCTACATGTATTATATCTATATTTTATATATTACACATTTATATCTACATTTATTATAACTATATTTATTTTATATATTATAAACCATCTATATTTATTATATTTATTTTATATTTATTACATACATTTATATCTACATGTATTATACCTATATTTTATATTACACATTTATATCTACATTTATTATAACTATATTTATTTTATAATTATAAACCATCTATATTTATTATATCTATTTTACATATTACACACATTTATATCTACATGTATCATATCTATATTTTATATTATAGTACACATTTATATCTACATTTATCATATCCATATTTTATATTACATTACTCACATTTATGTCTACATTTATTTATCTATATTTATATATTACATTACACACATGTATATCTATATTTATTATATCTATATTTATATATTATATACATTTAT